CGCTGAAAAGAGATTTTCAAAGTATGTACATTTTTGATGTAATGCTTTTGTCGGAATTCGTTCGTCTATTTCTGTGCTGATTAATAGCATTGCTTAAATGCTAGTGAGTGCCTTTTGATAGTGATCTACTTTTTCGCTTATTAAGATTAACTGAAAACCTCGTTGCTGGAATTAAAACTATTAAGTCAAACTTTCTTTTTTAGATCAATATTAATATTTTTGCAAATGGTAAGAATTATAGAAATATCGTATTAGAGCTATATATATATAATTAAATATAATTAATTGTTATTATAGAATAATTATGGAAATATCGTATTAAAGCTATATATATACAGCTCTAATACGATTTTTTATAATTTTAAGGGTATATACACTTCGGTTTGCCAAAGTTAACTGTCTATCTGGTTAATGTTTAAATCAACAAATTCTCTCCGTCGACCTTAACACTATCTGTGTATGTTTAATCACTACCCGTTGCCATTGAGTAATCTCTTTATTAATCTTTCTTATGATTTTTTCAGCATGAGTACTTTGGTTGAAGGAAATCGATGTAAACGATTTTTTTCTTTTTTACTTTACTTTACTTTTTAAACTTGACGGACCACTATTAAAAGCCAAAAAGTTTGTTATTTTGTTGTACGTATGTAGCGACAAAGTTCAATAAGTTCGTTTGAAAGTTCAGTACCACGACATATGGGTAAATTTTTACGTAAAACGCAAAATTAGCTGTAATTACCGGCTCTCTTTTAATCCCAGTGCAACTCAATATGTTTTTTGTAATGCGGTGAAATGCCCACAAAGCCTCAAAGTGCGGAAACTGTAAACTGGTAGTAATATGGTTGCTTTTATTATCGATACCATCTTTTAACAGTTAGATCAGATAAACAATTATGTAAACAACCACAAATAAAAATATTATTTTCGATAAATATTTTAAAAGTGCAGCTTTAAAAGATTTCTCCTACCGTTCTATATTTTATAAGAAATCGGAGCTCTTATAGCGCTATAATCGCTATAAGACATAATGTTCTATTTTTGGTCCAATTGTTTTAAATCATTTAGTTGGAAGTTTCCGCAAGTTCTAACTATGGCGAACTAAAAATGTAACGCCTATATTAACTTACAAATTCTGCTAAAGATTTGCAGAACTTGTCGTGCGAAAGATAGATATGTAGAAAGAGAGCACAAAAAGCCGCGACTTTTGTGCCAGACCCTATGCTTCTCGGCAAACAGTGCATGTCGGAGTTGGGAATTGCATGCGCATCTCCGTTCTTAAGCATACGCGTGCTTTCGCCGTATTTATTTTCTGCTACTTTCTTCTTTCCCGTCTATTCGACTCGTTTTTTAAATTATACATTCAAAATTCGTAACAAAAACCCACTTCAAAGTCTTTATCATCCTCGGCTAGATTTTATTCTCGTTCGAGATGTGGATTTCTTGAAGATTTTTGGCGGCCTTGTTATTCATAATGACTAAAAAGGAAAACACACACTCTGAACACTTTAAAGTTGTCCATTTTAGAGATTCAACATTGGGTGACAAAATGCGATGGCGACGACATTCAGGACTGACTCACTTTTCGGAACGAGAGGCACTTGAAGGAATAATACAGATATGCCTCCCTCTCGCCCGTTCATTACTACACTATGTGGTGCCGCTGCCCCCTTCACTTCCATTTGTGTCAGACCGTTTTTAATTGAAGCAGCAACCAAGTTTCCTCCTACTACAAGTTTTATGTTATATATATGCACACGCGGATTTCCTTCCTACTTGCATCCGTAATTCATTTCATTCGTGCGTTCGAAACCTCCCCCTATCTGCATGGATGATGATGCTGCTCTTTCTTAGAGACATTTGTTTTGTGACTTCCATTTGCATTTATACCTAATCAAAGTTAAATTTACGCATTTTATGTGCCCGTCATATTCCATTCATGAAAACGCAACATATGGCAAAATTAGTACCGCCCGCCGGATATCTTTTCAGCCTTAGCACGATATGCAACACATTCTTTGATTTCCGGTCAGCTATAACACCGCACAGGTTAAGAACATAGTGCCCCTTTTCGTAAGGGTTCATATGAATCCGTTTTCATTTTCCCGTTTCCCAGATGACAGCAGCCTGCCCAGTCAGCGATTTCCTAGGAAGACTGCCTCTTCTTTTTATTGTCACTTGTCAAGCAGCTGTTTGGCGGCGTGTTTGTACTGTTAGCCAAACAATTCTTGTTAGCCCAATAATTACAGAAGATCACGACGTGTGAGTTCTGCTTTATTTATAGTGCGATACTATCTGACGGGAAACCGTTGGGATTTATCTCAAGTACTTAACCTCTAGTGCCTAATAAATGCACTTCGACAATGTTAAAGCTACTGATTGGTCGGTATGGTTTCCTTTTTGGTAATCTTACTTGGTGATTGTTCAATAACAATTTTAGGCTACACATTATATTTGAACTGCTCCTTAATAGACCAAATTTTGTATTTGATGCAGACTCACTCACCAAGAGTGCAAGTGGTAAGGCGGTCCTCTACATCCCTACCGCACAGTTTACTATTATTTCGAATACCATTCTCTCTTGGACAGGTAGTGCTAGTTAATGCCCCCAACTTAATGCTTCACAACGTACCGTCTGCCTGTTCACAACGTTCGCATGTCCGACTCGCAAAAACCGGTTTGAAATTGAATTGCAGTTCCAGTGGCTGCATTTGCCTGTCCCTTAAACCTTGCACGAGCTCCCATGCAATATGTATATTCCTAGCTGAAGTCTTTAATGGTCGCTCAGATCAGTATCCTTGAGACACATTTAATAAAGAGTGGAGAAAATGCCAATTTATCCGTTGAGAAACCAGTTAAAGTTGACCTGCTCAGTACCTTCAGATTGCGTTTCTTAAATCCCAGCACCTGCTTCTTAATCTCATACGCGGCGAGTAACAGAACTTCCGGTTTCTTTTGCCCCACTTTGAGTTGTAGTTTCTTTTAAGAGGCGCCTCTTGTATATCCGGTCCCATATCAGCTTTCAGTATACTAAGGTTTCCATGGGTAAACAGTGTTAGAAGAATCTCAAACGGTTTGGATAGAAAATGTAACTTATACTTATTGTTTTTCGCTTAAAAATATCTTGATTTAATTCAAAAATAATATTTTTAATTTCCTAGGTGGCCATACCTTAACGTACTGGTTAGGAGAATAGTGAAAAATACCAAAGCATGATTCTTATTACAAGCTGGTAGATCACGTTTTCATAAAGTATATTCAATTATTCTTAGCCACACGCCATCAAAGAGCAAGGCAGAGCTGACAGGACTCGAAACCGGTTCCATGCAGTGGCAGATGTTTCCTAGCACCCTCTTCACTTAAACAGCATTATCCTTTTTGAGCGAACCTGCCACATTTGAGCATTTTATTTTTTTGAGCAAATCTTGAGGAACAGCAGCAGCTGAACATTTTTAAACAAGAAAGGTAGTCTCGGAATGTCAAAGGGAATAAATCCTTGCAGTTAAAGCCATTTTTGCACATTTTTGTTTTATACAAAGAGTCAGTAACATATCGCATATTTCAATATAAACTTGAAGGCTTGGGAACGCTCTTATATTTCCCATTTTTATATTAATATATATTATATATATATATATATAAATGATGCTGTCCGCTTAGGGATGTACTTATAAGAAGCAGCTGTCACTGCGGATGACTAGTCTCAGTAGCACCGCTTTTACATCCACCATCGAGACAGCGTCACTGCTACATATATGCAGGCTCACTCACTCAAAGTCCTTCCCTTATTTCTTGCACAGCTGCTTGTCTATAGAGTGAGATTGAGGGCAACGAGCGTCTGGGTAGCGAAGAACGTGAGCGAGGATCAGTCTACCTCTGTACAACTATCCGAACGTACACGCTCACCGGAATCTTTCGACACTGCATCGGGAACGTATAGAACGCGATTTAGCTAGTGAAGACTGATTTGTTTAAACGGTGCAACAGTCTGATTATGGTTACTTATCACGTGCGGCCAAGCCTAACTAAGTTTAGTGTGCCACAGTTCGATTCGCCTGGTGCGGCAAGTTTGAAGCGCACCCAAGTGACAAAAGTTGGAACCAAGTCCAGCATGAACATTAACAATCCGGTCAAATGTTACTCTGTGAGATCGTCTCAACTTGGCATGAGTGGTCGACGCTTTACGACTTTGCAAAGGTGAGCTAATTTGGCTAGAACGAGTCGGTACGAAACTGATGTACTGTACACGAAGACATTGTATGAATTAGGCCACATCATTTTTGTTGAACTGCACATCAAGGAATTTTAAACTGTCTGGTGTTCAAAGAAGAATTTATCGAGGGAAAACTGCATTTCCTCACGCATCCCAGAGGTAATCCCTTTTTTGTTACGAGTTTGCAAATGCGTCGCATGAAAGAGTCTCGAAGTAATGGCAAGGAATTTCCACACCACAGGCGCACACTATGCGCTCCTTAAATTTCCCTCTTCCTTCACCTTTCCGCGTGTCCTTCTGCTTTCTAAATTCCCACCTCCCCGCAACATCTTGGGCCTTTCCTGTCGTTTTAGGGTTTTCTTTGTATGCATGGAATTCCCTGAATCTACGGTGTTCGCTTACAATAAGCATTCGGAAATGGAATTGGCCATGTTTACTTTGGATTCGGTTCGCGTAGCCTGCCTAGGCTTACCTTTTCAAGCACTACAACATTTTTTCTGCATTTTCCGGGCCACTTGCCTTTTGAGTTGTAAAATATACCTGCACCGACTACCGAGCGTCATCGTAGCCACAATATCACACGCAAACGTAGTGCCTATCCCGAATGGCGTAACATTAGGACACGGAGGAAGCAGATTTCTATGAAATCTTTAAATTGCTTTGAAAACCCTGAAACCCTTTTCCACTGACTAATGACCGAACACGAAGCTTGGTAGACGGTCCCCGAAAACGCTAAATTTTACATAATACACCCCAGGACTAAAGAGAATTGTATTTCGTTTCTTTTCAGAATGCCTAAAAACGGAAACACCGCAATGAGGTCAAACAGTAGTTTCGCTGTGGGTTTGGTAAGTAGCAAAACGGTCCGATTTAGGTTAATTTTTGATAGGGAACCAATTGGGAGTACGATATTGATATCTTTATCACGCAAAATTGCATGCGATATGCAGAGGTATCCAGACTAATATTGACATTCAGATGCGGGTATACGTTTTCTAGAAACTTATGGCGTGTATCTATGCCCATGTGCATACAAAGAGCAATCTGGAGGACAGTATCGCATAACCAGGACAGCTGCCCTTTTTTCTGCCCTGTACTATAGTCACAGAATTAAAATAGATTTATTTCTGTCGACCGGTTTCGACAGCTGCGATTTGTATACAAATGTTTAGTATTTCTCACACGCTGCCTGTGTACAAGAATCGGAAAAGACGGCTGAGGTCATGAACATGCGCTTGAGATGAAGGCCAAGAGCATTTTCGTGGGGCCTGGCGATGGGAACTCAGAAGGAGCTCGGGAACATGATGCAATCCAAATGCTTTTAGGGTGGCAGCGTTTCAAATGCAGTTGAATTTTATCACCACGCCCTCGTCGTCCCCTGTTATAAAGTAGCGATGGTGCTGTAAAGAACTCCCGTAAAACGTACCCAGTCTTTAATGATCTGCATCTGCTGAAACTCAGTCAATTGCGGCGAGCATTTAACTTAAAACCTTAAAAGTTTTACATTCGAAGCCCTGCCAATTAAACTCAGTTTATAACTGGTTTATTGCCCGAGTACAGGACAGCAAGAGCATTCCATGTGATCCAACTTTCTCTGAAATGGGTTTGTGAGACCCTCTAGATGCGCCCGGGCAGTCCGTCATAGGCTACAATGTTGTAGAGTTCAATAGACTGATACATTGCTCCCTAAGACGTTTATATGATTTGATGTAAGAAATTTTCCAATGACGCGGATCACATTACAAACTATCAACGCTGCAACCGCAGTGCATACCACTGTTCACAACGATAGGGACTTTTTACTTCTCCCCCCAATCAATGAATGCACACTCTGCTATGCGCTCAGGGAGTTGGGTGTCGTGGTTGACTGGGCGCTACTGACGCCCGTGAAGGCTTATCAAACGCCGAGGATGAATCGGAAACTTAATCTCTGCAAAGAGTGGGCATTGCGACTAATTTTGTGACCACCAACTAACAGTAGTAAGAACACATCAAGGACGCAACTGGGATTCCTGAGAACTCTTTAAATTCATGGTATATTTAATGGTTTATACGGGGAAAACACATGTTTCCAGCTGAGTCTGTTTTTCCAGTATTTTTCCAATGCCAAACATTGTTAGCCACCGTTAAATCCGTACACTGAAGTCCCTAATGTTTTCCGTATGTAAATTTTGTGGAAATGGGTTTTTAAATTACTTCAGCTTAGGGCTAGTCGTCTTTTTTTCAGTTCTTCCAAACGTAGTAAAACAAGTTAAATATTTTAATACCCACTTCTTTGGTGCGCTTTGATGACTGACAGTTGAGATAGAGAATAAGGGAATCAATTCTTGCTGATGGATAAATCATCCTGCTATTGTTTCAAAACCTTTGTGCCGTGTAGGTGATCTTGTGGTAAAAACTAATCAGGCAAGACAAAACATTTCAAATACAGAATGACATTGGCGAAGGCATCGGCCTGTTGCTAGATCGCAGACAATAAGTTGACCCAGCCAACCGGCCCCATGCGACAAAAGGCGGACAACAGCTGCGCCAAGTGGCAGCGGCTCGTGCTATGCCATCCCTACGCTAATCTAATCAAACCACTTGAATCCAGACTGTTGACAATGGAGCCCGCAGATAGAGTTGATCTTGACGCCTTTTTGTCCCTTAATGCGATATACCTCACTACAAGAGGTCGGCTGCCCACTCACGACCGGGCGACGACACCAGCACACTCGTCAGTACTCGCATTTCACATTTGCAAGTCTCGTTGCCGGCAATTGCGGCCAATCAGTTATTAGTTATCGCTTCGTTCGGTTACACCTGCTAGCGCTGCTTGCGGAAGTCCCGTTGAACCGGTCCGCATAACCGGAAGGGCGCTATGAAGAAGCTGATAATACCCACCCTCATGGACACCTACGGACTGATTAAGTTCTGGGACTTCGACACGGGCGCCCCTGGAAGTGCGTCACAATCCGCCGGGGGTCGAGTGAAATTTAGCTTGTTACCCGCCAACGATGTAATGCCCGGCGAGCGCCGATACAGATGGAAACCTCGCCTTCTCCAGGTCATTATGTTATCATTGATTGGTGGTTGTGAAAGTGGTGTGCTGATAAATATTTTTGGTATTTTGGCCATGAATCGCCACCACACTCACCCACGTCCGATCACAGCCCCTGATACTGAGTACACACATTTGCCGCTCATATCAATTTTGTTGTGCAACAAAAAGCAAAACCCGATAAAACTGGTGACTTCCAAGGTTTATACCACTACCTTTTTCCACTACCTTCCCTGCCCAAACTCCTCCTGAAACCTGTTTAAAACCGTTCTTCGTCACGGTTATTGACGTAGCCTGGACTCTAGACCGACCTATTCGCGTACCGTTTCCATTAAAATTCTCCCGACAAGTTCATACAGTTCCTAGCCGCAGACATCAGTATATTGTCGTATCATTATTGCTTTATTATAATCCGAACCCTGACCGATACTCGGGCATAAGCGAAGCTGCAAAATAATTGTGGTTTCTCGTGAGGAGACGCGTACCGTTGATGTCAAAGCACTACAAAATCGTTATTTGTAAAAATACATATAGATATAAAGAACAGGTCAATAATGCAACTTGTTTCTCCCTTTCTTCCTGTATATCCCGCAGTCGCAGCAAATTAAGGCTGTCTCCAGTCCAACGCTGTCAGAACCGCTCTCAGATCCATCGCCGCAGAAGCCAGTTGAATGTACGGATGTGGCGACCACAGGCAGCAGCGGCGGAAGTGGAGGCGTGGGCTTGGGCGTCTTGCAGAAATTCAAGCGCACTCTGAACAACTTCAACAGCAAAAATCAAATGCACATCACTCCTCTTACACCGCCGACAGCATGTAGCAATCTGACAAAGGCTAAGACATCGCCAACAGCACCGAATGTATCCATTACGGCTCCGGCGACGACATCTGCTAGCGAACCTGGGGCAGAGGGCGGCGATGCAAGCTCCGGGAAATACCGATTCGGGCCCCTCATCTGGCGCACTTCCAAAGAGCGACGTAAGACGAAATACAACCGACGCGACAAGTGCAATTCCGGCGACTCGGGCATTCAAATTGAGCTCGAGCAGGATGAGCAATACTCCCGTGCGCTGACTGTAAGCGTCCAAAGAGAAACGGCCGCTCCCGTCTCAACCAATGGGACGCCCAGTGCAGCGGACTCTAAGGTGCGATCAATACGTCGAACCAATTCGGCCAAGACAACCAGTATCCTGGGACCCTTTACTGTGAGATCAAAACACGCCAGGTCTGATAAGGTTGAGCGCGAAGCTCCAGAATCCCTGCCCAAGCGATCTCTTAGCCAACCGAATGGCCTGGAGTCATATGGCATGGGACGCCCGGATCTTGAAGATAGCGACAGCGACAGTGTCGCGTCAAACGAGGAAGGTAGGCCTAGAACTGGGATTGCAAACGTCTCAATTTAATAAGCCTGCCAAACAGCGTTTACTAATGCGGTTTTCCTTTGGTCCCCAGCTGTCAGCTACTACCCAACTATTTATGCCGAAGTGCTCTACAACTTCACGGCCGGCGGTCCTCAAGAACTTGGCCTGGAACGGGGAATGCTCATTGAAATATTGCGCAAGGAGGTTGGACCCTGGTGGTTCGGCCGCATTAAGAAGGAGGAAACCAATCTCGTGGAGGACATATTGGACCCTGAACTGGGCTGGTTCCCCAAGGAATTTGTGCGCATAATTCATTGTCCTGAGACGGATATTTTCTTTAACGCGCATAGGGCTGCCGCGGCTGAGGCGGAAGCTGAGGCTGAGGAAGCTACAGCTCGTGGAGAGGAAGGGTCTATTCCTGTTCCCGTTACGACGTTCGTCGAGGACGCAGACGTTACCGTGACCACGGACCAAAGCAACGTCACTCTAATTGTCATTGAATCGCCACCAGCCCCGATAATTCTCCCTAGTTCCGACTCAATGGCCCAACTGGACCACAACACAATCCTGCGTCGAAGTGCCGTTCGCGAACTGCTTGATACGGAGGTCAATTACGTTAAACTGTTGGCATCTATTTGCGATGGGTAAGAGAGCGAGTCCTGGGTAATAACTGCCAGGTTATTAATTTGCCCCTTTTTAGGTATCTGCCAGCCATGAGCAAGCGCATCGATATATTTTCTCCGAACAGTATTCGACTGATCTTTTCCAACATAACGGCAATTTACAAGTTCCAGCGAAAGTTTCTCGAGGCCTTGCGACGCGGTATTGAGCAAAACCAGATTGCTAAGGTTTTTCTCAATATGGTAAGACTTCGATTTAAATTCTTGATGAAAGCCATCTTGAATAAATTATACTATTGCAGCACAAAGGTTTTCTATGCTACTCCACCTACTGCAACGCTTATCCTCGAGCCCTAATCGAACTCGAGACTTACGATCGCGTAAAAGACGCCCGTACCATTTTTGAAAAGTAAGTTAATTTAAAAGCTCTGCTCAAAATCATGTACTAAATGCATATACTTCTAGCTGCCGCGAATCGGAGAACCTAGCCGAGCTTCCGCTTTCTGCCCACCTGCTAGCACCAGTGCAACGAATCTGCCGCTATCCCCTGCACCTCAATGAGATCATTAAATCGGCAATGGAAAATGCCGATGAGATAGATGGTGGAGCAAAGCCAGTTGCCGCTAAATATGAACAACTTGACATCTTTCAGGTGGACATACCTGACTCTCAAGATACTGTAAATTTGGCACTGGAGGCGATGCGCGGCATCACAGAGGCGGTCAATGAGGGAAAACGCCACAGCGAAACGATTGCAAGGCACCAGGCCAGTTTTCAAAACTTTAAGGGACCGCCGCTGCACTTGCACAGTGCTCGCTTCTTCCTACAAGTAGATGCAACGCGTCAGAAACAGAATCTTTGGAACAGCAGCTACACGTTGTTCCTATTTGATAACCAGCTGGTCTACTGCAAACGTGATATTATCAAGCGCAGCCATTTCATCTACAAGGGACGCATTTTCCTAGACCGCTGTCGCGTGGTGAACGTGAGGGACGGAAAGATGTTTGGGCACACCATTAAGAACTCCCTTCGCATATATAGCGAGTCGCGAGACAAATGGTACGATTTCAGCTTTCGTTCGGCCAACCGGAAGCATCGTTTCCTTAGCACCCTCGCTCTAGAGCGTCAGTTTGGCGGTAAAGCCCTATATGTTTCCGAGATGACTGGTTTCGAATACAACTACGAGGAGCGGCCGGGCGATTGTTCAGACCAATCTGACTATGAGGCGCAAGACTTTGAAATAGCAACGGGAGCCAACAGTGGTGAAAGCTCTGTTCCAGATTCACCGGCCAAGTCTTCGTCCCGTCTGTGCGAGACGTTGCCTAAAAAATCGCAGTCCAGGGACGGCATATCCAGCACAGACAACGCTCAACTATCTACCACTTCAACAGGTTCGCTGGGAAGACGTCATTTTGGCAATTGGTTCCGTAAGCCGAAGAGCGCCAACTGCACTCCGAGTCAGTCACCGACGCATAAGCCGGGCTTCGACGCAGACGCGACTCTTACGGAAGCCCGGGTGGCTGCCATGGAACTGGCCGAAGCCGCGGCTGCGCTAGTGCCAACGGATACCTCCTCCGCATAAATGCTCGACACATTAATGAAAAGAATCGCAATACAACTTACAAACACCATACAATATACAGGATACAAGCAAATGTACTCGTAGTAGAAAACATGATATAAAATATTTGTTACAATAATATTAAATTGACTTTAATCATAGTAAGATGTAGTCGAATGAGTGTTTCATTCTGATTGAGTTTTTGTTAGTGTTACCTTTTTGTTCAATATAAAATTGTTTGTTTTTATTTTAAATCGTCTGTCGTTTAAATCTTTGAATGTCTGTCAAAGTATTTGCAGACGACCAAACAGTAATACGGTAATAAGAATTTTAGATTTACAACAATGAACAAAAACATTGTATACTTCTGGCATTTCAATGCGGTTTTATACACAAATGTCGCCGACTGCTAGTCTAAAAACTCATTACCTGTCCATACTTGTAATTCTAGGTTATGTGATAAGTCGATAATAAACACCCGCAAATTATTTAAAATTTTCCCCTTTGTGTTCGCTTAGAGAACTCCACAAGCTGAATAGAAAACTACCCACAGAATTGATAGGAAACGTTGTTACTTTTAAAATGGCACGTTTTACCCAAAATCAGTACATACTCTTTGCATTTAACTTGCAATGAAAAATGGTACTACACATGCTATTTGTTACTGTTTTTGTTAGGCCAATCCAAATAGGCATGTTTTCAAAGTTAAATATAAAAAACGTACTAAAATTTAACGAATAAAATTTATAAAGGTAGTAACGAATCAATAAAGGAACAATATTATTGCATGTGTACAAATTGTCATTACGATTTGAAACAACATTGTATTATACCGAAATTGGTTGAAGGTCAATTTGAAGTCTTAAAAATTAGAAAATGTTAACAACACATTACACTAAAAGCTAAATGCAACAGAACAATTGAGCGAATTTAGTTGTTTCTAAAAAGAAACGCGAATGAATCCCATTAGTATTTAAAATTTTGCCCACCCAGTTGGCAATAATTATTTGATGACAGTATAAGTTGGTAGAGAGATATAACTTCATAAAGCAATTTACTATTTAATAGACTTTGCCACAAAATCTCATTGGTTTTTGGAAAATGTTAAAACTTTATCTGTAAAATATAGGATCAAATTCCCAGGCAACAATTCTGCACTATTATATAACAAAGGCCACGAAATAAAATACATTAAAATAAAATAGGGTTAAAGAATCAACATAACAACCATGCCAACACAGCTAAGAATAAAAAAAAAGCTCCAAACATTTCGATATAGTTGATTTAAAATATAGTAAATCTGGGACTACTTACATTCTTCTGCGCACTTTAGCCGCACTAGTTTGCCAAGTTTGAACCAGACAAACATGAAAACAAAACATGTATAAATGAAAACCTATCCCCAAAACCAATTCTACACTAATGGCAAGGGTGTAGGCCAGCTGAGCAATTTAAATTAGAAGGCGTAACCGGAAACAAAAACCCAGCCGTATGTATACACTTAGCGACCACAAATATACTCCATATGCCAAATAAATAAATATATATTTATCCATATTTTTAATGTCTTTAATTAATTTATAGAAATTAAAGCCAGTTGGGATGAACCTAGATATATATATCTAGTACCAAAATACATCTTTACAAATGTCTGCATTTGTTTTCCTATAAATTATATTGATATTATTTATGTGTATTATCCTTGAAATGGGTATAATTTTTTTTATCTGTCTGAATGTTTCAATACCTTTAGAAAGCTCAGTCTATCCGCTACAGAACCAATCGGTCCAAAAATGTCTAGTTGTCCTTTTTTATGACATTTGGGTAGTTTAAAAGCTATTAACATGGAACTTTGCAAATCATAATTTTTTATACATCAACAGATCAAGTCCTATATATACCATAGGAAGAATACGTTTAAATGTTGAAATATTGGTTGTTTTTTTAATGCACTTGCTATTGACGCTTTCAATGGCTGATGCAGAATTCGGGTGTGGTGGATATAAAAATCAAAAATTGGGAATAAAATAGATAATACGTAATAATATACATAATATGTATGTATAATTGTTAACCCGAGTGGAGGATCCATCCCCCATGGACGTTTTATAAAATTAAAAACTTTTAAGTCAATTTTAAGTGGTGGGTTACTCATTTGTCCTGTAAGAAAACTACTTTTAAAAAGTGATTTAAACTAGTAAGCAAACATAAAGAAACATAGGTTTTTGCGTTTTGAATAAGAAATTGAAAAATATAAATTTAAGCAGGGCCCAATATAAACCAATTGTAAAATATATTTGTTTGTCTTTCTAGTAGTATGTAATATATATATAAATACTATGGGTTTTTGACTTACCCAACAAGTCCATCCATGTCCGCCAGCCACAGTTTGTAGAAGGTTAAAGGCTCCATTGCTGGTTTTGAGGTACTTGAACTTGTCCCGTTCGGCGAGCAGCCGTTCGTGCTATTAACCGTGGCCTGTGGCGTTTGTATGCGGCAGCTAAAAGCCCTCAGCCGAATATTAAACATCTTCCAGAGACGTATTGGCCCGGCTTCGGTGAACTTCAAGGAGTGCTCTTAGGGAACAATATTCTGTGCAAAAAGTCATTGGCTGTCATTTTTTTGCTGGGAGCACGGCGGAAAGATGGCGAAACCCAAGAAGAGCAATTGGGCAAAAATGGGTTAGAGGCTCCACCGCTGGTTTTAAGGTGCTTGAACTTGTCCCGTTAGGCGGGCAGCCGTTCATTCTATTAATCGTGGCCTGTGGCGTTTGTATGCCGCAGCTAAAAGCCCTCAGCCGAATATTAAACATCTTCCAGAAGCGAGTTGGCTTCGGTGAACTTCAAGAAGAAGTGCTCTTCGGGAACAATATTCTGTGCAAAAAGGCTGTAACTCTTTTACTCGGAGCACGGCGGAAAGATGGCGAAACCTAAAAATGGGCGAAGCCTCAACGTTATCTTAGATTTAATGGTTTGGTCTGGCCCGTAACCGGTCTTCTAGATGGGCAACAACACGGCCACGGGGTGGTAAACTCCTTATTATTCAATTTTGGTTTTGATGTAACAACAATCCGGGCTTTAACTTTCACTTCTTTCTTTCGTTTTTCGATTGGCAAAAGGACGCGCGAAACTATCGATTGTTGCCAACAACGTTACCAGCCATAAAAAATCTCTAAAAATAGCCAGAATAAATATAGCTTAAAAAAGCTAGAAAATATTTGAATGGCGACATTGTGTGTCTTTTGTAAAAGCACTTTGATAATGTGTCTTAGACTTTTTTTTGTCATGTTTTGAAGAAATGGTTAGACCAGCAAACCTAATTTAATACATTCCCTAACTCGAAACAAACTCTCTGGCGTAACACGTTAGTGCCTTTATTTTATACAATTCTGTCTCCGTTAGTCAAACCTCCGGAACTCGAATTTGACTATAATTCGACCCTTATGTATGTCTGTATGTTTGTCACGCGTGCGTTTCGAATTCGAATTTTTTCAGTAAATTTTGTCTTTTACCTACCATTTATTTTACCTATCAAACCCAGGTGTTTTAATAGTTTTACAAACATTAAAAAACACTAAAAAGACGTTATGTTATATATCAATATGCGCATTTATTTTAGTTGCATTATTTAATAAATTGTAGAAAGATTCATTTACATTTTCAAATACTTGTAGCTAATGTTTGCGTGCAACCAAAGTTAAATTACACCAGTATGTAATATTTCAAGTGCTGCTCACTTTTTTACAAACTCAAAATTGTTCACTTTCAGTGCCTAGCTATTTGTTTTAGTACTGTTTCGTATGCTTTGATTTCCCATCTTTATCGCAATAGCTTAGAAATATATTAAGTTAAAAAATCATTAGGATTTATTTTAGTTTTATAATTGGTTAAATAGGCAAATACATAGTTGACGGCGATTTAAGCTTTTTATTTATTTCTGTATGTACTCGTGGCATATCCATTTTAAAATTATGTAAATTTGTTTAATAATTAAATTGAAGGCCTTAAAGATTATATTGCTGTATTTTAATCTGCAGCAAAGTGGCATTTAACTTTACACTTAAGTCGTAAAATTGGAATTAGATAATTTTAAAGATATTCTCGTGAATTACAAAAGTATAAAATGTAGGTAAAGGATGAATATATAAGCGTAGCAACCAAACAAGTTATCGAAATGTTAGCTTGGTTATTGAAAATGTGTATATATGTACAAGTAGTAAATTATGAATTTCAAAATGGAATAACAGACTGACACTCGCGACTTTACTCAAACAAACTAAAATTACATTCAAAACATTTACACTTTTTTCTTATAAGCTAGACAACATACACATTATGATAATTCAACAATGCAAACGCATACAACGAACGATTTAAGCTACGATAACAGATTTAGGTTTGGTACAATTTCATTCTTTTTGTTTTTTTGTCGCTGATAATTACATATTATATAATATACAATAATTCCTTTACAAAAAAGTCAGTCCATTGTTTTGGTTACCAGCTTGGCATTATCAATATGCTTCTTATGATTACCCACTTAGATCTTCATAAAAAACCGTTCTCACAATATGCCATTCGTATAGTACTGATAACCATCGTACAGTTTGGTTGACAAACTCTTCAACGAGTCCTGTACAAGCTGCTCAACTTTTCGTTCCATTTCTTGTTCGGTTAAATTCATATGAAAGCGTTTTCGGAGATTCTGTACAGTTCCAGAGCAACCATTCTTAAAGCATGGCAAATGAGCATCTGCGAAAAAGGAATGGTGTTATAAAATGAACTGTACATATTTTGAGTCGTTTTGCTTCGAAACTTACTGCTACGCATGATTTCCACAAAGTTTATAATACGATCCATATGCTTTCGGGCAGACATCATTCCAACCAACAAGAGCCTATTAAATTCACGCCAGTGCTCAGAGCTGGTGCCTCCCATGACTTCAACAAATTCTGGCGTAAGCTTAAAGGGCGATTGTTCGAAACCTGTAAAAGCCCAATTACAAAATAAGATAAGCGAAGCGCATAAGTTTGGCACAATACCTACCCAAGTTCTTTGGAGATATACTTAAAATAAATCCGAAGTCAATGTGTATGATGTGCCCATCTGAATGGAAGAGTATGTTGCCATTATGCCTTAATATAATAGAAAATATGTAAGTAAAAAAACGTTCAACGACAGAAAAGATTCAGTGTTACCTATCCTTGACTTGCAGCAAATATGAAATTAGACAGTAAGCGGCACAGCTTTGCACGAAATTCTTCTGTGCGCGCCGAAAACTTTCCCCGGTGGGTGGGCCGTACTCATCGATAAAATAGTCTTTCAATGATTTGTTGGAGTTCTTTTTAATTTGGTGCAGGGAGACGGTGTTGAGTATGGGCTCAATAAGGCCACTGTCATTCGACAGGCAGACTATTTTGTACGGACGTACCCAAAGGTCCACTTGTTCTTCTTGCCATATAATTTTAAACATCTGCAAAATATTACTTGCGTCAAGAATCTGGACGAATTCTTATTGGTCTATAAAAATTGATCCTACCTCTAAAAGTTGGGTAGCCATAAGTTCCTGTCGTAAATCATCGCCACACTTGACAATGGCGGAAAGCAGCCGCCAGTTTGATAGATGACCGTATGGCGAAGACTCGCGAATGAGCATTTCCTTTTCGTGCCATGGTTCCTAAAGGAAGCGATAATAAATTTGATTATGTTCACAATAATTAAATGAACATAATATGTACAAACCTTTAGAGCCGCTGCCGACGGATCTTCTGGGTCGTTGCTAAAGGATTTAGTATTCTCGCAGCTCAAGTTGCTGCAGTGGCGCAAGCGTACGTCTCCAATATTGAAGACAATTGGTGGACCTGTTAAAAAAATCCGATGGATTGCTTAGTGACTCCTTTGATTAATTTTTTTATGTCCCCTTACCTTGGTCCCGCGAATCGCAAGACTCTAGTGACATTTGTGAGATCGTGTCTCGTTCGCTCACTTTCCGCATGTTAAGGTACTGCGCCGTGATCTCGTCCTCTTCCTGCGACCACACGTCATCCTCTTGGAGCTGAAGTCCACCCAGCGAATGTGCGTTCCCGCAGCAGTTGTGTGGGCCAGCGTCGCCGCAGCCACCATCGCCTTCTGCACCTTTTTTTCTTCGCCAGCTTGTTCCCTGCTGACTACTGCTGCAGCTGGAAGTACGGCTACAGCTCAGGTGCTGGTGCGAGTTCAGGCAGGACCCCTCCAAGTGCTCTTCGCTCTTCGTATGTCGCAGCGAAGGC